TTTTTTGTTTTTTGTTTGAGGGGGTGGGGCTGGGGTTGCGCCGCCCCATGGCGTTTCCCAAATCCCCAACCCCCCTCCCCACTGGCCGCCATGTGGCCGCAAAGTTGCGCGGCCGCGTGGACACGTCCGCGGGGTTCGGACCTAGCCACGGCCGAGGACTTCGCCGCGCTTGGCCGCCGCCGGGGGGGATTCGTAGCCACTATCTCGGCCATCAAAAAAAGGACTGAACAATAAGGACTAACGGACAGTGGCTTCACTTACCCCTCACTTGCCACGTAGCAAGACAAAACCACTGAACCTGCCGGTGACCCCTCACTGGTAGTCCGGGGGGGAACAGACCTTCCATGCCCTTCGTTGCCTTTCAGCACCTACCTCTTTCCCCGAATTCCCTCCCCCCACCATCGCACCGCACCGCCGCTTGTTGCCGTCCAGCGCCGCTTCATTGTCCCAAAGATCCCCTACTTTGAGTATTCCATTTTTCACCCAACTTTTCCAAGGCGAAGATGAGCTTGTCATGACACAGCCCCTCGTGTCTGTCACCCATCTATTTCCAAACAGGGGTTGGCGATAGATTTCTTCCCATCAGTCGGGACAGACCTTATCCGGGAGCGGTAGCTTCCGCCAGGTTTGCAGCAGGGATGGCCAAAAACTATCCACCCTCTGCCCTCCTTCTTCCGAACCCACCCTGCCGCGTGGGAGTTTTCTTGGGATTGCCCAGAAAAGATCCTCCAGCCAGGTCAGCGGGTGGACCGTACGGGGGGTTGCTGGGGCCAAGCGAGCCAGATGTTCCAAAGCTAAGACACACCATGGGTTTTGGGGGATGAAGATGAGCTGTTGGATCCATTTGATTTGCAACGTGTGCACTTGCGTGGCGGGGTCAATTATCCCCAGACCTCCCCCTGCTTTCGGTTGTATGTTGTATGACTAAGTTCCAGGCCACACAACTTATTGCGTTGGTCAGCTCTCCATCTCCCCTCCATAAGAAAGCCGCTGCTTTTCCTTTAAGGCTTCTTAAAACCGGTTTGCTCAGGGGCCACAGGAGGGATTTTAACCATAGTGTTGCGAAGATCACATTGTTTAGCACCAAGGCACGTCCAAAGAGGGATGCTTTCAATTTTGCTGTGTTGGAAAAATTTGCCAGGGCCCAGGGGTGAAGAGGCAACTCTGGCTCTTCCTTAATTTGCTTTCAATATTGTATTCTGTCATGGGATGCTGGATGCAGTTTCCAGCAGGTGATACTCCCCACCAATAGATTGGAGTCACATGCAAGGATAGCTAGGGGTATATGCTTTCACCATGACCCCTTAGGCTAGCTGTGCCTTGTAAATGTTATTAAAAAAGAAAAAAAGAAAAAAAAGTACTAGCGTTTTTGCAGTGCAGTTGGTAAGGCAGGATTTTCCTTCTGGCCTCAGAGCATACTCACACAAAGACCTTTCTTTTTTTTTTTTTTTTTAATTTAAACACGCCCCCACCAGTGTTAGTGGTGCTGATAAGAGCAGACACCACTAGCACCTGGGGAGAGGCTCCATCTATTGGTGGGGAGCAACACCTGGGTCCAGCGTCCCATGTACAGATTGAATTTAGAGAGTATCAGAATAAGACATTGTGGGACACAAGGACCAAAAGACCCAAAATCCCAAAATTTGACTCGTTTTTCGGGTCACACTGGAGAGGCTCGCTACCCAGTTGCCTCAAACGGTGACCCTTCTGTCAGCGGCCTGAGGGGCCATGGGCTGACCCTTTTTGAGACCACCTCCGGAGGTGGCTCAAATTACCTTTCGTTTTTTTTTTTTTTTATGTTCGCGAAAGACAGCCCGCCAAACAACTGAAAGTGCGACCAGGAACATTTACGTTGTAGCGAAGCCCCGCGCGTTATACTGGCGTGAGAAAAAAACTAAAAGAAATTCCATCTTGTTGTTTGGTCCTCCCCCGTGTGACTGGGCGCACTAGCCCTGAGTGCAAAGTGTCAGGGTCGCGACTTCGTCCTTTCTGGACGATGTCTGCCCGTGTGACCACGCGGGGGTCAAATGCCTAAGAGAACCCGAACCAAATGCCTCAAAGCTTTGAGGCTTTTGGTCCCCATGTGACTCTGATGTGAGTATGCCCTCAGCCTTTGCAGCTGTGTGGACTACCACTGAGTTGGTTTCGGGGTTTCCCAGCTGCACAGACTTCTGACAGTTCTTGCACAATGAATGAATGCAGCTGGTTGCAGGCTGGCCGGTACATCCACGGGAATTTATGGTCAGTGTGTGTTAACTGGTGCACCTTGCAGGCAACTCATGGCTTGGAACTTTGGAAACTGTGGACCACCACTACGTTTCCCAGCTATTTTTTTCCAGAGTAGAGGCGTGTATACAGCTGCGACTCTAACAATTTATATTTTTAAATATTTCTTTTGAAAGAAATTGAAACCCACTTGTTTGGCCCTAAGAATGCCATCCTAACAATTTATATTTTTTGAACGAAATTGAAACCTACTTATTTGGCCCTAAGAATGCCATCGTCTGAAAAGTTTAACACTAAACCCCCTTGGATGCATCTGGACTTCAGCTAAGTCCAGATGGACCAGTGACCCCCTTGTATGCATCTGGACAGCTAAGTCCAGATGGACCAGTGACATCTTTAAGGGCCAAATAATTAGGTTTCTTGAAATTTGT